CTTGGAGTGGGTGTGAGACCTGGGCTGTATTTCAGTGGTGACTATGGGCATGGCGGTCGGCCCAGGGTGCACCTACCCGGGAGGGCAGACTGCACACTGCCCGGGGCTTTGCAGGCCTGTGCTGTTGCTGAAGGTGCCAGTAGGGCACGGAGAGGGGGCAGCCGATCCAGCAGGGCAGAAACTGCCCACCGGGCACAGTCCTCCTGTCTGCCCATCGGCAGGAGTCTGTGGAGGAGAAAAACAGCTCTAGGCCTTGTGGCTTTGCTGGTAGGTACTGTATCAGCCACAAGTCAGCCATAGCCCTGGACAGCCCTCGTTCAAGAAGATCGGTTTCACTCAGGCCTGTTCAGTCAGCTCATAGTAACTTCTTGGTGAGATATTTTCAAACTTTTAATTTTACTCAATACTTGCTTTTGAAATGACACAGCTGTAGATGTTTTGTTGCCAAGAAACTACGAAGAATTGTGTGTTTTGAGGCTGGGATGTCATGAAGATGTTTAGTCCGGAGCTCAAAAAGGAGCTTAGGCCTTGTTTTGTAGTGGTGTATCTCTTCCTTTATCTGCACTATAAATAAAAGAGCACTGTTTTTTTTAACCTTACAGCTGTGTGTGTATATATATCTGTTGTCCTGAGCCCGCCTATGTTAAAGATCCTGTCACAACACGCCTAACAGACTGTCAGAGGCAGGAGGTCGGAAACACAGCAATCAGTACAGTTTTGAGACTTATTCATCAACTAGTGATTAATGATTATTTTAAAAAAGAGGTCCTAATCAATGTTCTATCAATGTAATCGAATTAAAGAGCTTAATGGACCTGAGCAGGTAAATTGTTCAGCTGTTATTCACTAAAAGACACAGGAATACTTCAGGAACAGGACTGAAATGCACCAGTATAAAGCAGCTATTGCACAGGTAGAAAAGTGATAAATATATTTTAATTTAGAAATGTATTAAAAACACAAAATGCCAACATCACAACATCCAGTTTCTAAAACCGGCTTTGTTCTGAATTGCCTGTGGACAGTATTCCTTGCTGTAACTTACTGCAGATCGGGCTCTTTCCTTACAGTAGAATCCCTCTTTGCACAGACCTGTGGGTTCAGTCTGAGCCACGCCAGTGCAGTACCTGCCTCCACCACAGGGGGTGCACTCTGAGCCCTGGCGCAGGGCCAGTCTGGGGCTGTAAGTGCCCTCCTCACAGGGCTCTGGGGTACTGCTGCCCTCAATACAGAAGAAACCCTGGCGAAGTAACAGTTTAATAATTGACAAAGTTAATTACTTATTTGTGACAGATACAAGATCAGCACAGATACACTCAAAAGTCTTCTAATGGATTCTGGAAAATAAAATTGTCCAAGACCTGCAAGGCATGAAATATTCTTTTTTAAAAACAGAGAATAAACGTATGACCTATACGAGGAATTCATGGTGAATTTCCTGTGTCATAATCCTGTACACAGACCGCACGGTTCTCTTCTCACAACAAAATGTTTGATAGCTCCGCAACATGATGTCTGTTTCATAGTTTTTCACTGGAGAAATGCTCAGCTGCTAAGAATGGAATTTTGTGGAAATAAAAATGTCTGGCTGGGTGCGTTGTGTTGAAGAAACACAAGAATCCTTTGTATCTCTGTTGCTTGGCAGAAGCCTGTTAATGAATAAATGGTAGGAATGATGAAAGATGGTACCTTAGGGCAGACTGCGGGAGCATGCGTGGCAGCTTGGGCACAGTAGTGCCCCGGAGCACAGGGCACACAGTCTCCTCCCCCGTGTCCATGTGATGAATTCCGGTACAGCCCAGGGGGGCAGGGGAATGAATAGGGGTACCCAGTGCCCACTGGGCAGTAATAGCCATCAGGACATTGCCCTGTCTAAAACACAGAAATGGGTAAAGTTTCACCCTGATAGCTACCGCAGCCAATAGTAGTAATCTACAGGAACCAGACCATTCGTGCAGAGCAGAGTAAAAGCCTTCGAGTGCCTATTATTCAGTGACCTTGTTAATACACAGTTAAATGAAAGCAGGACACAAATTGTTTCCACTGAAGCTGGACAGGCAGATTTTTTATTGAGGGACTTTTCTGAAATGTCTCTAGCTTCCTTGATTACAGGAAAGTAAGACTCTCTGACTAATGGCACTGAAAGCTTAAGTTGTGCTGGAACTGTTTTTAAAAACTGTGCAGAAGGGGGGGGGGTTGGTGACGTTTTTGTAATGCGATTATTTGGTTTTTACCTAAACCCAATACTTTAAATGTGTACTGCGCGTCTGTCTTGCCTTGTTAGGCTGAAATGTATTCAATGGAACTGCTGATCAGTGAAGATGTCTCTCCCTACTTAGAGAGGGAGCTGATCTGACAACATTGAGAGACTACAGTATCTGTCCCTAAAGTTTCTTATTCTCCTGCAGTGTGAGAACACCAATGACTATACCTTAAGTTTTTATTCTTCTGCGGACAATGCAAGAGTACATAACAATCCCCAAAGTTCCTTATTCTCCTGCAGAGACTAAAGGAGCTCTTTCTGTGTTCAGAGTGCTTACAGGCTGGGAGAGGCCATGGATGTGAGGCTGCTGATCCGAGTAGCAGTATTTTCCCTCTGGACATGGGGAGCAGTCTGAGAGGTCACGCAGTCCTGGCTGGTCACTGTAAGTCCCATTCGGACAGGGCCTTGGATTGGGATCCTTGGGAACAAAAACATAACATGTTGGTTCCAAAGGCGAAGTTCTACCATTTTCTTTTTCTTGACAAGTATATTAATGAGTAGATTTGCAATATCTGTTTTAAGACTTGTTCCGTCTGGGAGGTTTTACAGCTGATGAAGTTCGAGCAGGTTGCTGAGTCAGCATGTGTAGGCTGCAAAGGAACAGGTAAAGGTTTATTCCATGCTTAAAGGGGAAGAAAAGAGAAACAATGTTTCAGCTGTAGAGCCTTCTTCAGGTGTTCAACGTTAATTGATGTTTTCCCATCATGGAAGATCATCATATTCTGTATGTGCATCACAAGGGTATCATGATCATATCACTAAACTGATCAAGCTGCTGATTAATTAGATAAAATGGCTAAAATGGGATAGCCCCAAAATCCCAGTGCTGGAAAACCCAGATGTTGACAAGTGCTGTTTTAGAACGCCCTGCCCTGGAAGGCATACGGCCCTTAGAGACTGAGGGACAGGTTACACCAGGACTCAACAGTGTCTCTTGGGGATGGTCCCAACTGTTAATATTGGGGAAAGTACAGTAAATTCTAATAAAGATGGTGCACAAATGGGATCTGAATACTTTGGCAGGGATCTGGGATTTTCTGTTTATGTCGCATACCTTGTTTGTAAATCTTGTAATTTGTCTGTTGTAGGTTTGTGTTGTGTCTTGCTTACTGTGTGAATTGTATTATTAATAAATGTTTGTTTAAAAAAAAAGATGAAATGGCTGGAGTGCTATGACTTTCTGAGCTCCAGATCTGGATATACTGTCCCAGAGTGACTCCGGAGTTTGTCAGAGCGAGAGCCAGAGTTTGCTCAGGAACTAAACAAGGATGAGTGATTTGCAAATTCCCCTGAAGCGGCACAGTGTGCGCAAAGGCAGAGCAGGGTCAGGGACAGGTCAAGAGGAGCTGTGCTGTGCTCACAATGCTGCCCCCAGGACAGTAGAACCCTTTGGGACAGAGGATGGCGGCGCGTTGGGGTTCCCTGTCCAAACCCGCTGAGCAGATCAGCCCAGCTGGACACACCATCGTGCTGAGCATCGCTTCCCGGCTGGTCGTCTCGTGACTGCAGTAGTGTCCCGGGAGACAGGGCGAACACGCAGCTGAGCCCTGATCCTTAAGAGCAGGAACACAAAAGAACGAGAATAAGAGCATGCACTCACGAAACCCCTCCCTACAGCCTTTGTGCAGAGAGTCCTACTTCACAATCACCGCGCCGATATCGGAAGTGTTTGCCCTGTGCTCGTCCTTTCTCTTTTGTTCCCTTGCTTTGTGCACAGGAGGCTGGGAGGCCCTTACTGAATAGCTGCCAGCCCCGCAGCTGTGGGGCTGGACGGTGGCCAGGTGAGGACAGGAGTAGCCGGCAGGACACAGGCTGCAGTCCTCAGCTTGCTTCCCTCCCTTCTGCCTGCGGAAGGTCGACCTAGAAGCGTGGAGAGAGGACAGTGGCCCTGAGCACCACACAAAAATAATAATTCCTTAGACTTCTGGACTCTCCACTCAAAGCTCTTTACAGGTCATGGGGATCCCCTCCACCCCCACCAGTGTGTAGCCCCACCTGGATGATGCACCAGTACTCTCACCACACACCAGCTCTCAGTGGGGAGGAGAGCAGAGTGATGAAGACAGTTCAGAGAGGGGGTTTATTAGGAGGCCATGATGGGTAAAGGCCAATGGGAAATTTGGCCAGGACACTGGGGTAACACCCCTACTCTTTTCGAGAAACTCCCAGGGATTTTTAATGACCATGGAGAGTCAGGACCTCGGTTTTACATCTCATCCGAAGGACGGCACCTTTTTTACAGTATAGTGTCCCCATTACTATACTGGTGCATTAGGACCCACACAGACCGCAGGGTGAGCGCCCCCTACTGGTCCCACGAAGACCTCTAGCAGCAACCTTAGCTTTCCCAGGAGTCTCCCATCCAGGTACTGACCAGGCTCACACCTGCTGAGCTTCAGGGGATTGTCAGTGGTGAATTGCAGGGTGATATGACTGCTGGAAGAACACACAGCTCTGCTTCTCTGAGTTGAGCCGTCCTGAGACAGGAAGTCCAGACGCAGAACAGGGCAGAGGCACAGAGACAGCAGCGTCACACACCTTTGCCTCTGGCAGCATGCACGGCCCGATGAAGACGATGTCCCGGGACTCAGTAGGTGTGGCAGGAGACGAACCATCAGAACAGAGGTCTCGCAGACTCAGGGCATGCAGCTGAGGTCACACAAGCTCAGGAAAGGAGCACTTGTCAAGCGATCTCTGGGACAGGTTACGCAACCTCTAATACAGGTTGCAACAGAGGTCACAGGACCTATGGGGATGCTGTAGAGGCGATGTGGCCTCTGGGACACAATGCAGGTCATGTGACTTTCAATACGTGTGAAGGCAGAGGTCACTTGACCTTTAGTACACGTCATAGCAGAGATCACGTGATCACACGCTCTTCGTAGCAGCAGCGGTCATGTAAGCTCTGGGATGCAACCTTTTAATATAAGTTGGCAACAGAGGTTACACGACCTTTAGTGAACTTCTAACGGTTCGATAACCTGATTTGGGATGCAGGTTGGAGGTGCTCATGCGAACGGGACACAGCTTCCTCGGAGCGAGGAAGAGAACGAGAGAAGTGGGAAACAGACGCAGGCCAAGGCAGTGCTCCTGCTCACGCTGGGCATGGGCTGGGCTTGGCAGAGCCCTCCCGGCAGAATGACCCCTCAGGACAGGGACTGCAGTCCTCCGGCCGGCCACTGCCCATCCTGGTGCTGTACGTGCCAGCGGGGCAGGGGAACTGCGAGGCGAACTGGGTGCCTTCCGAAGGTGTGCGGCAGAAAGAGAGACACCAGATTAGACACCGACTCCGTCCCAAGTGCAGCCATCTCCCACAAACTCAGGACGTTGATGGCGGTTCTTTGACTGCAGGAGGGCTCTTTACCCAGGGTAACTCAACAGGAAGTACCGAGTCTGTATATTGGGGCTGGCCAGCCTGCAGGTGAAACTGTGGAACTGTGAAATCGTTCTGAATTCCTACCTTCTGCTTAATGGAGTTTGCAGCAGAAGTTTGGGAGGGACGTCAACAATAATTACAATCAGACTGGGCCGTAAATAATTCGCAATCACTCCTGATTTCATTTCCTCTCCTAAAACACTACAGATACTGTGTGTGATCCCCTTCTCTCAGTCAAGCCAAGCAAGTCAGCCCTCAGACAAGCGGATTAAGCCCAATTATCACTAAACATGATAATAATCCTATTGCCTGTTGTTTTTCCTAGTGAACCTGGACAAGGCATTGGCATTTGTATGGATGACCAACGTAGAGAGCAAATTCAATCCAGTCAGTGGGTAATACTGTTCTCACTTAGCAGATGACCACTTTTTTACTTCGGAAAACAGAAGAAAACAGTCAACTGACACATTAACAAAAATAAATGGGTTTCCAAGAGCTCGGGCGCCGCTGGAAGTGCCCCAGCATGTCCTCTCCCGGGCCCGCGACCCAGGACTTACCCTCAGGGCAGTAATGCCCAGAGCTGCA